GAGAATGAGAGCCTAGTGGTGAAGTCCTGCATTAGTTATATTAAAGTAGCATCCTGGAAGCAATGCTTAGACTTATCTGAAGGGATGTTAAAAGAAAGGCAACTTCTGTCAAGGCTCTGTAACTTCTTTCCTTCTTGGTACTGTCAGTGCCTGATGCCAAGTACGTGTCTGATAAATGTGAAACATTTCGTCATGGCCACAGCACCACAGCATGTGAACACAGCAGTGACCCCTGTATCAGTCAGCACAATGGGTTTTCCCCCTCCCCTCTTTCATGGTGACTCTTCAGCTTAGTTTATGTTCGAGTATGTATCTCAACTTGTTTGATTTACATTTAGATTTAAAATAACAATGCTGCAAAAATGATGAACTAGAATTTTCAGAGAAATGTAATTGTTCAGGGAGAGAGAAGGAGTATGTACTGGTCTTCCAGAAGACCTGATTCAATTTCCAGCACCTACATCAGGCAGTTTACAACTGCCTGTAACTCTAACTAGAGGAGGATCCAAGACCTCTAAGCTCTAGAGACACCTACATTCACATACATATATACAAACACACTTACAAAGTAAAAGAAAAGTAATTGCTATAATGTTGCAAACTTTTTGAGTTATACTTTATGAAGTATAGAGAGAAAGTATCTGTAAAACACATAGCAGACTGAAAACTAACATTCCTTTTTTAAATGTGTGTCTTTATTAAGATGGATGTTAAAGCCAGACTACCTGGATTTAAAACTTGGTAGCATACTTTCTAGCTAGTCTTGAGTAAGCTACTTAAGCATTCAATGCCCCAGTTTTCTTATTTACAAACTAGGGCTCATCATATCTTATCTAGTACTGAAGTGTGGCCAAGTGTTTAGAATAGAATTTAGAACATAACAAGTCCTAAATAAAACTCAGCATTTAAAACCTTTTTATCATTAGTGTGTCAGAGATTGCTATATATTTCCCAACACCTGGTCTCTCTTTCTTATATTAATAGAATCTCCAAGTTGTAACTATGCATGTAACTGTCTGGCATAAATACTATATATTCTAGTTTTTATTACAATAGTGTGTGACCATGTGTCTAGGGCCTAATCAGTGAGATGTAAGCATTAGTACCATAGCTGATGAGAATCTTCCTCAAAAGACAACTGGATGTCTACCAACTTTTCAAAATTTTATAAGTATGAAATTTGTAGCTAAATGTTTTCCTGTGTTCCACCTGGTCCACAGCCGCTCAGACCCAAGTAAACAAACAAAGGCTTATATTAATTAAAACTGCTCAGCCATTAGCTCAGGCTTACAATTGACTAGCTCTTATACTTAAACTCAGCCCATTTCTGTTAATCTATATGTTGCCATGTGTTCCATGGCTTTACCTGTGTGCCATTACATGCTGCTTCCTGGACGGTGGGCTGGCGTCTTCTGACTCAGCCTTCTTCTTCCCAGAATTCTCCTTGTCTGCTTATCCCACCTATACTTCCTGCCTGGCTACTGGCCAATCAGCATTTTATTTATCAACCAATCAGAGCAACACACTCACAGCATTTAGAGCAACATCACCATCAGAAATTATTAAAAGTTAGTGAAGGTATAGAGTAACAAGAACTGTTACTTTTGGAAACATGCTGACATTTATAAACAAATTCAGAAAAATTTCCTAAATGTATAGTCTAGAGAAATGTGCAAGCAGACTAGGGTACACGTAAAAGGATGCCAATGGGAATAAATCTGTAATAGTCCTGACTTACAATAAACATGAAGGCTTAGGCAGGAGAATCATGAAGTGAGGCAAGCCTGGGCTACATAGCAAAACTTTATCCTAAATGTGAGGGTAATGTCAGAAAGAAAGGAAAACGAGAAAAGGGAGAGAGAAAGGAGAAGGGAAAGGTAGGTTGATCTGTCCATTTCAGCCTTTGTCTTGAATGCTTCTGTCCATGGTCAGTTAGCACAGTAGTTCTTAGGCCTGTGGTGCAGCAGCATATCACAGCAGGGAGTGTGTGATTAAAGTTTTCATTTCACTGCTGGAAGAGGAAGGGATTGGACTAGGGTCCCAACATCCCTACTAAGGTTGTAGCTCTAATTTTTGTCCATTAGCCCTCATTTCCAAAAGACTGTAACTATCACCTTCCAGTAGAGCCAGGTGCTGGGGAACCAAGCCTTTACTTCAACACATGGGCTATCTTATAAGTATATTCAATAATACCCACTGCATAGAAGAATTAAGAACCAAAGTAATATAAAACATGAAGATTTAAAAATAGGCAAGCTGTCATTTAGACTTGGGCAGAACATTTTGAAGAAAAGCAAGGCAATGATTAGTATAAAGTCAGGATTATAGTAATTTCTAGGTAGAGACATCCTCTAGGGAAGAGCTTTGATTAAAAAAGGAAACATGGGCTTCTGAACTTCTTACCATGTTCTGTTCCATAATTGGAGTAGAGGCTTCATGGATGTTTCTTAACATATTTTTAAAATTATATATTGTCTTATGTACTTTTGTATATTAATATCATATTTTACAATTAAAACTGCAGATACACAAAGAAACATAGATCCTGTAGCCTGTACTTCATTCTTTCCTCTATCATACTAACTCCTAAACACTGGCTCTCTAAGACCATGAGGATAAAGACCACAACAGAGCTATCAGAGTAATGAAACAGAAGAAAGATGTCACCAGAAGGCTGGGGCGGAGGGCAGGCACAGCAGAACTGTTCTATCAATCCTGAACTTCTCATCTTTGAAATGTCTTGTTATTTATACAGCTAGATTTTTTAAATTATTTTTATTTTATTTGCACTAGTGTATTTTGCCTGCATCTATGTGTTAAAACCCCTGGAGCTGGAGTTACAGACAGTTGTGAGCTGCCATATGGGTGCTGGGAATTGAACCTGGGTCCTCTGGAAGAGGAGTCAGTGATCTTAAATGCTGATCCACCTCTCCAGCCCTATACAGCTAGCTCTTGTTTTAACTAATATACTTATCTAGGCATAACCTTAGAAGGGATGTTGGGACTCCAGTCCAGTCCTTTCCTCTTCCAGCAGTGAAATGAAGAACTTCACTCTAACCATACTGCTTGATGTGATATTCTGACTTACTACAGGCCCAAGATTTTTAAAAAGACAACCTACCCAACAGAAAAATTGCCTAATCTCATACATACATATATACACATATTCTAGGCAATTTGTATAAGAAGAACACCAAAGGACTCATAAACACCTAAAAAATATTCAATTATAAAATAAATACAAAGTACTTGACATGTTATATTGGCAAAATCTTCTGAAGAGCAATATATTCATTACTGCTGTGTATTCATAAATATGATCCCTCTTGACATTGTTAATATAAATTGCTATAAAATTTTGGAAGATAAACAAGAAGTATATATCACAGTTGAAATGCTCTCATGACTTGAGACAGCAAATCAAAAAAAAAACATTCCATAGAAATTACTCAAGAGCAGATTTCTAAGAATTTCACTGTGACATTATTTGTTCAGATGAAATCCTGGAAACAATCATTAGTTGTAGCATATCTGAATAAATTATAGCACACAGTTACTATGCGATACCTTATTATTCGGCTGTTTTTGTTTTAACGATGAGTTAGATGGAAGGATGCTGACCTAGAAAGCTGTGCATGAATTATTTAGTGATGAAAGCGAGCTATTCATTTTTTATATTTCTGGCCAAGCAATTTTGTACATGCCTACTGGTGTGGCTTTGAAATGACATGCAAAGTATCAAAGGACAGAACCTAGATGTTTTGTTTGTTTTTTGTTTTAAGTTATTTTGTGCCTATGGGGAGGGGAACGCATGTCCCAGCCAGTATGTAGCTGTCGGAGGACAACTCGTGGGAGTCAGGTCTCCCCTTCCACCTTTTGGGTTCCAGGGATTGAACTCTGGTCATGAGCCTTGGTGGTAAGCACCTTAACTTGCAAGGCCATCTCACTGGACCTGTAACCCAGATTTTAATAGTCGTTACCTTACCTGGGAGTCAGGACAGAAATGAGGGTTCCTTCTTCTGCACATATCTTTGGGTGATTTTACTGGTTCTAGTTAAGTCTGAATACTTTTCTAATTAGCAAAATTACATAATTTTGGTGTTAATGAAATGCATTCCCCGGGAGGTGAACACCTATAAAATTGTTGCTAAATGTATTATTGGAATAGACTGCACAAACCTGTACAAATTAGAATGAAGTGACTCAAGGAAATGGAACGGCTTATCCTCCTGGTGTTTCACAATAAGCATTTCAATATTAACTAGAAAGAAAGAGATGAATTAGTAAAATAAATAAATATACATTGCTTCATGCAATCTCCTGGGAAGAGGCTCAGTGCCAAGCTGTACCATGAAAAAGAAAGCAGAAGTTAAGAAACACAAAGCAATGTGCTGTTCTTTATCAGGGAGGGCTAGTTATTCTACGCTAGAATGTGCGAGGGAGTGGCCATCCATCAAGATATAAAATCCACACATTCCCGTTCAAAGAATATTTCCTGCCCCACCTCAAATGTTCTTCCTCCAGTACTGCACAACCACCTGGCCACACGCCTGGGTTTGCCTTCTGTCTTTCTCTGAAGCCATCTGATTGCTAAATCCTCTTAAAGTTACCCGCGCAAAGCTACTGGCCATGCGCTGCTTCTGGAGACTTCAGCTAATAACATGGTAGCCCGGCTAAGAATAAACCCCGACTCAGCCCTCCCTGACTTCCGGCCGCTGTCGCCTCTGTCACACCTCACCCGACGTCACACCTCACCCGAAGTCACACCTCACCCGATGTCACACCTCACACCTCACCCGACATCACACCTCACCCGACGTCACACCTCACCCGACGTCACACCTCACCCGGACGTCACACCTCACCGGACCTCACCCGACGTCACACCTCACCCAGCCTACCAAGGGAGCAACAGCCTTTGGCTCTGGGACGCCAGTCAGATCGCCCTAGACCGGCACATCCGGGCAACGGGTGCGCCAACCCAGAGGGCGGAGTCTGGCCTGACCAATGGGGGCGTTGAGTTCAGGGCCATCTGCGGTCACGTGTCCAATGGGCGGGAACTTGTCTCTTGTGGACGCCAAAGCGGGAGGATTTACCTCGTGCGAGAGAAGAAGGTCCGCTCCCGCGGAGGGTAAGGAAAGGTTCCCTGAGGCTGAAGCACGGCCGCTGGGAATTCTCCAGAAACCAGATGTCCGAGGCGTGGTTTATGGAGTCGCGCGGGAACGAGATGTTGAACCCGGCTCCTGCCCCGCCCCGCTAGGGGCAGCTGGAGTGCGGAGGGCCTGGCGGGCCAGTGGTTCCCACTCAGCTAGTTCCATAGGTCGTGAGAAAGCAAACAACACGAGGCTCCTTTACAAATTTTACATGCCCTCCCCACCCCCGCCCCCCCAAAAAAAAGGTGCTTAAGTGGTTTATGTGAGAGACTGTGGAAGGGGAGAAAATTCCAGAATGCCTTCGTGAAATGGGAGAAGATGCGGCTTAAAACTCGAAAGATTCACACTCATCTTGGGTGTTAACACGGGCAGCTACCCCAGCTTTGCGTCCAAGAGCCTGACCTAATTATTGTCTCTATTTCCATTTTGAACCATTATTCTGTAGGAGGAAGTGGAGAGGAAGTAAAATCTTTAGAAGTGAATTTAAAATTAAACCTGGGGAATTGCTACAAGTTAATCTTTTGGGTTTTTTGGTTTGGTTTGGTTAGGTTTGGTTTTTGGTTTTTTGGGACAGTGTAGTTTTGGTACCTGTCCTGGATCTCACTCTGTAGACCAGGCTGGCCTCGAACTCAGAGATCCGCCTGGCTCTGCCTCCCGAGTGCTGGGATTAAAGGCGTGCGCAACACTGCCCGGTTTACAATCTTTTAAGAAATTATTTCTAGCCGCTGTGGTGGCACATGTCTTTAATCCCAGCTCTCAAGAGGGAAATTCTTTCTGAATTTGAGGCTTACCACAGTGCAGCCTTGTCTCAGAAATCAACGAAACAGACAAAAAAATTAATCTTGACTATGATTTTGCTTGTCTATGTGTTTGATGGATCTTTAAATATAAAGCCAATTTATCTTTTCCCATCCACCCAACAAACTAAGGTGGGTTCAGATACCTGTTCTTCAATCCAATAGACTTGGCAGGTGAAATTCTGATAGTAATGTAATGTGCAGTGTCTTAAGTACTTCAGAGCCTGACTGTCAATGTTGATGTCAATAAAAACAAACAAACCCCAACTTTCTTCAAAATAGTTGATGATGATGAATCTAAAGCTGATGGAATTACTAGGCTTTACAAGTAAGGACAGAAAATTGAAAATAAAGGCTAACCACAAATTGAGTGGGCAAGCTAAGAGTTGTGCTTTTTTTTCTCTTTATTTTTTTAGTCTTTAAACTCACTTATATAATGATACACACTCATAATTTTCTGAAAAAACGTAACTTTAAGACATGAAAATTTGGGGCTAGAGCCATGGCTCAGTGATTAAGAGCACTGCCTGCTCTTTCAGAGGACCTGGGTTTGATTCCCAGCCCTCATATGGCAGCTCACAACATGGGTAACCCCCATCTCAGGAGATCCAGGGGCTCCAGGCAAATACATGGTGGTGCACAGACACACATGGAGACAAAACACTCATACACATAAATCAGATTTTAAAAAGAAATGAAGATTCTAGAATCAGTGTTTTCTTCAAAGATTGTGATACAATGTATGGAAAGGCATAGAGGTGTAATGATTACAAATATTCCCAGAAATAATTATTAGTTTAAAAATGCCATGTTGGCATTAAGAGTGGGTGGCATACCTAACTGGCACCATACTTACTGGTATTTAAGACTCTATCAGTATTAAAACTAATCTGGATTATGTATTTGCTCAATTTAATTGAAAGATTGTAATACCTAAAAATTTCTGTTATCAAAATAATTGTGTTATGGATTATTTTAGAAGTTTATTTGTTTTTAAATATCTCAGCAAGTTGAATAGTTAAGGATGTTCACTTTGGGCCAGTGAGATGGGTAAAGGCACCTGCCAGCAGCCCTGGGGAATCTGAGTTTGATGCCTAGGACCCTCATGGTAGAAGGAGAGAACAGAATCCCACAAGTTGTCCCTTGACTTCCACACACACAGTGGCACAATTGTGCACACATATACTATAAATAAAAATGCAACAAAAATTTTACAAAAAGAATATTCACTTGATGATAGCTGAAAACAAGGGTAGATTATAGTCTTCCTATAGATGATATCTTCAGGGCCTTTTCTTTTCCTTTGTTTTTGTTTGTTTGTTTTTGTGTTTTTTGAGACAGAGTTTCTCTCTATAGCCCTGGCTGTCCTGGAACTCACTCTGTAGACCAGGCTGGCCTCAAACTCAGAGATCTATCTGCCTCTGCCTCCCAAATGCTGGGATTAAAGGCATGCGCCACCACCACCCAGGCTATATCTTCAGATCTCCAGACTTCAAAACTTCACATTATGTAAGACATCAGTTAAACCACAAAAAATGAAATAATAATTACACTAGGTGTCTTAGTTAGGCTTTTATTGCTGTCAAGAGGCACTATGGCCATGGCAACTCTTATAAAGGAAACATTTAATTGTGGTGGCTTGCTTACAGTTCATAGATTCAATTCATCATGGCAGGGAGCATGATGGTATGCAGGAAGGCATGGTGCTGGAGAAATAGCCCAGTGTCCTACATCTTGCAGGCAACAGGAAGTGGACTGACTGTCACACTGAGTGAAGCTTGAGAAAAAGACCTCAAAGCCTGCCTCCACCGAGATACACATCCAACAGAAGGTGTGGCCTCCAGCCTCAAGGTCTGGATTAAAGGTGTGTGTCATCCAGCCTCCCCCAACAAGACCACACTTTCTCCAATAAGGCCACACCTCCTAATAGTGTCACCTCCTATGAGCTTTAATGGGGGTCAAAATCATTCAGACTACCACACTAGGCCATGAGCATTTATATTAAAATATGTACTTAATTCAATAAGACATTATTAGTAAACTATTATGTAAAATATAAACATCTGGCTGACATCTGAATTCCCCGAGACTGTTTTATTTGTTTTTGCAGGGATAGATATTGAGCCCAGAGACTTGAGCGTGTCTGTCAGAGTCTTTTACCATTGAGCTATCTCAGCAGCCCACATACTTTATTCAAAGAGAGCCTCACTAGGTAGCCCAAAGTGGCTTTGAACTCTAAATCCACCTTCTTCATCCTTAGTGCTTAGATTAGAGGCATGAATCACAACATCCCACTCCTTCCAGACATTTTAAATGACGAAGATATTAAGAACTATTTGATAAACTGAGTAACTTCTGAGGTATAATTCCTTGATTTCTCATGTGGGAACCATCCTGGCTTAATTAATTGTTATAATTGCTTATTTTTTTATTCAGTACATTTGTTGAATTTCTGATAGTCTGTTGGCTTGGTAGCTTTATCATACCATAATTGCTTTATTCTGAATGAACTAGCTAACTTCAGAGAATTCTAACTTCAGGCCTTTTATTTAAGAAGACTTTTAATGCCAACACACTATATTACTACTTTTTAAAGATTTATTTATTTCATTTTATGCATATAGGTGTTTTGCCCAAGTGCTTGTCTGTGCACTAGCGCCTTTGGAGATCAAAAGAGGACTTCAGGTCCCTTGGAATTGGAGTTACAGACAGTTGTGTCAGGTGGGTGCTGGTACTCAAACCTGAGTGCTTGGCAAGTGCTCTGAACTGCTGAGCCCTCTTTCCAGCCCTGTATTTCTTCATTACAGAGTTATGGCCTTGCTTATTTCATTTCAAAATCATTTGAGAAACACAATTACCCTGTATAAAATACGATGTCAGTCTTTGCCACTCTAGCCTCTTCTCAACACAATTACAATATTAAACATACTTGAACTCACCAGCTTGTATGAATTAAATGACAAGAGAAAATGTAGAAAAATGTATACCAATACACATTATTTTCATATTAGATTTTCAACCACAAAAATAAATGTTACTTTATACTTCACATTTATCATTTAGGACCTTTTGAAAAAATAAGTGAACCAAAGATTTATGTTAAAAGAGATTTTCTCCTCTTGGCTTTGCTATTTTATGAACATTTAACTTTTGTATTTCTAGATATCGCACCCTGTATATCTTTGAAGAGAAGAGCTATGTTTTCAGCATTCAAATATTATGCAATAGACTATTTACATGAGGTATGATGTTACTGACTTGCTATCCAATTACTAAGAATTATTCTTGAAAACATGTGTATCTAGTATGTGATAATTTTCAGTAATTCACAGGTTTATCTTTAGTTGCTTTCAGAATCATTAAAATTACCTTAGGTTTTTATAGCAGTTAAGTCTGTGTGTGTGTGTGTGTGTGTGTGTGTGTGTGTGTGTGTGTACAGACTCTTGTCATGGTGTGCATATAGGGGTTAAGAGGACAGCTTGCAAGAGTTGATTCTGTCTTTCTGTTGTGTGAGAGAGACCTGGGGATCAAACTCAGGTCATTAGCATTGGTGGAAAGTGCCGTCAACCTCTGGGCCATCTCACCAGCCCTAGTTTCAACTTGTTTGTTTGTTTGTTTTTGTTTCTTTGTTTCTTTTTTGAGACAGGGTTTCTCTGTATAGCTTTGCGCCTTTCCTGGAACTCACTCTGTAGACCAGGCTGGCCTCGAATTCACAGACATTCACCTACCCCTGTCTCCCAAATGCTGGGATTAAAGGCGTGCGCCATGATGCCCAGCCTTAGTTTCAACTTTTAATATTTCTTTCAAAGTTCAATTTTGTAAGGGACTTTTAAATTAAATTAAAATAGTTGAATAGCAAAATAAGTCTGAAACTACCTGAAGAGAAGAATGATACTTTTGGCAAGTTTGGAGGGTGTTTATTAACATTCTGAAGTGATCTTCCTTTAGGAGACATGGGAAACAGTAGCACATGCCTGTAATCCCAGTGCTTGGAAAGCTAAAACAGCAAGATAAGTTTCAAGCCACCTGAGGCTGTATAGTGATACCCCATCCCCCAAAAATAAAAGAGCACACACATAAAAAGAAAGAATGGGCACAAAAGTAGTCCTAGTCACTGTTACTGTGACAGTAACAGCATGTCTTGATGAATCAGACACTTTGTCCATCTAATGGATGATGTCATTTGATCAGTGTAAGTCCCCACACATCAAATACTATTACTCTACAGGTTTTACAGCTTCACAGTTAGCAAAATAATATCAAGAGAGCTAAGTATCATGGAAAAAATGTCAGAGGTGAATTTCAAGTCCAGGTATATTGTTAATGAATGTACTAAAGGAGATAGAGGTCATGTAATAGTTTATTGTTCTTATGATCTTAAATGACAAGTTAAAATTTCATTTTCATTATTACATTAACCTGCCCATCTACCAGTACAAAAATATTACAGTAAACTAAAACTATGTTACATTTTATGGGGATTAAGAAATATACATAGTCATCTTCGGGTTTTATTTATTCTCTCATAACTGAGAGACACAAATATGTAATTATAACATATGCTTGGATTACTTGCAAAAATGCAGTTACTCAAAAGTCCTCAAAGATTTCTTCTTGCTCATGGTGCCTTAGTAATGCTGGTGTATTGCACTCCATGATGTGATGCTGAGAAATGTCAAATCTTGCAGGTGTGAGACTTTGTAAAGTTGATGAAGATGTATTAAGAGCCACTCAGATAACAATATAAAGATCTGGCAAAGTAGAATTGCTTAACAGACAATAGAAAGAAAAATGATGTGAATATCCAAGGAGTCAGACTTACTAATTCAACGTCTTACTAGTTCAAATATTTTCACCATTATCTCCCTTATGATCAAAGAAGAAAACGAATGCCATCTGTGCCATCAGATATAGTTTATGAGAAATTACCTCAGAAGCAATTGTAATCAACATTTATTAGCTGTAAATTATTTCTTATAACTTTTTTTTTAGATGAAGTACTAGTCAAGGTTTTTTTTTCTGTTTACATGTATCTTTGGTCCTCACTTTATATGGGTCAGATTAAATGATCTTTTATACCACTTATTCTTGGATAATGAAAACCTCTTACTGAATGTAACGCCTTCAGCAGCATAAAACATCAACAACAACAAACCACTCAGTTTTGCAGATACATGGACTAATGAATTCCACAAGAAGTTGGAGTCTCTGGAGAGGACTTCACGGAGGAGATGCTGCTTCCGCTGAGATAGACAGCTATAGAGCAGCAGGTCTTTTTTCACAGGGTAGACTGCGGTGTTGTGACCACTGAGTGCTAAGGTGGGGGATGGGATGGCAGGAGGAGGCACAGGTCATGGGAGTTAACACTGGGAAGTGAGGGAAGAGTCAGGTACAACTTGAGCTAACCTACAGGTTTATCCAACTGATAACATCCTGTCTGTGTTGCTTGACTGAGACAGGATCTTGCTGTGTAGTCCTAGCGGGGCTGGTAGTCTGTATTTAGTGCAGAATGGCCTCAAACTAATAATCCTCCTGCCTCAGCCTCCCAGTGGCTGAGATTACAAGCTGCACCACTGTGACCACCTTTAACATCTATTTAAAGAAAGAGATTTCTTCCTTAGGTTTACTTTTGAAATTAGAAGCTGATTTTCATGTTTTAGCATAGAAAACAAAAGTTGAGACAGTGGCATTATGCTGGTTAATGGAAGCAAAACCACATTGCTAAATGATGTAATACATTTTTTTATCAAGCACATATATATTTTAGCATGTCATAGAAAAAATGTATGTAAGACAACTTGCTGATATTATTCTCAGGTACATGGTTCTTTAATTTGACATTTTTATGACATGTATCAGTTTTAAAGAAAAATTATATCAACTTATAACAATAATCTGAATATTGGTATATGTTAAAATTATATGGTATATGTTAAAATTATTATAATATAAAATTATATTATATTAGTATATATTAAAATTATTTTGCATTTTCATACAGAACAAAGTTAAAGAAAGGCTTTTCAGAGATGCTTTATTGCTTCAGATCCCTTCATGTTTAAATCAAGATAAAAATTTTATTGATGATAAATATAGGAGTCCATGGACAAGAGGTATGTTTTTATATCTTACAAGTTATTTCTAAGTTCAGTGTAGTAAATTAGAAAAATCAGACCATATGATTGAGTAAGGAAAGGGAGGAGAGCTGAGATGTGAGCAAATTTTATGTTGTCTAAGGCTTTGTAGAACGTAATATGGACTTTTTTGTCTATTTTTATAAAAACAATAGACTGAATGTTTATGTGTCCTCGAAACCACATGTTTAAATTTAAGCCCCATTGTGACTGTATTTGGAAGAAGGATCATGAAGCTGGAGGTCAGTGCTCTTGTATAAGATATCCCAAAGAACCACCTTTTTGTCTTGAACACAGCAAGATGAAGTAGAAGAGAATCTCCATCAGATACTGAATCTGCTGGTGTCTTGTTATTGGACTTCCTAACCTGTAAAGCTGTGAAAAGTAAATGTTCTTAGTTTGAGTCACCTAATCTCTAGTATTTGTGATATAGCAGCTCAAACTGGCTAATAAAATTGTAAATATGAGAAACCATTGGACAATTTTAAGAAAAGGAAAGAAAGAACCCAAATCATATTTCAGAAAAGACGATTCTGATGGGAAGGGTTGGGGGCTGGGAGTCGAAAGTAGAGACATGGGACTATCAAGACAACACAGTGGGTAAGGATGCTTGCTGCCAAACCTGACAGCCTGAATTTGAACCTTGGAACCCATGGGATGGAGGTGAGAACTGACTCTGACCTCTACACACGTTATAGCCTTGAAGTATAGTAAGAAGAGAATGTTTGTATGGTGTAAAATCTTTTTTTTTTTTTAAAAAAGAAGTTTATTGAGTACCTTGAAAAGAGCAGTGAGACTTGCAGTAATAAAAGTACTGCCTATTTGAAGTAAAAAAAAAAAAAAAATGAGGCAGTACTCAATTCAAGATGGTGGTGGCTACCGGCACTCAAGGGACTGCAGACCCACGGAGGCAGGGGAAAGATGAGTCTGTAGAGCGTGCGATGTTTCCAGAACAACTAAAAAAAGGGCAGGTCTCATGGAAGATGTTTTTAAAAAGTGGTCTCGTGAAATTGACACAAAAGATGGTGGAGGGGAGCCATGCATGCGGTGGAGAGAAGCGAAACTAGAGACAGACAGGCGAGGATGTCTTGCTCAGTGGTCAGTCCTAGGCCTGCAGGGAGGTTCAGTCCAGTGGGCCAGGCCCACAGCATGGAGCCACCACTGCTGCAGCTCACACTGCCTTACTGGGGGCAGGGAGGTGTACACTGGCCTGGGGCTGGAGTGGATCCTGCCTCCAGATGTGCTGCTGAGCTTCCCTGACTCATGGGAACAGCAGGATATCAGAGATAGGTCTCAGGTATAGTTATGTTTACCAGAAACCTTGAACCAGACCAGTGACTCGTTGCAGTAAGTATTTGCACGTAAAGCTGTTTGGAGAAAAAAAAAAAAATCGTACTGTGTGATACACAGCAGTTGGCAGTGCCACTTTGATGGAGAGGGGGAAAGAGGGTAGAATGAGTGGCATGCACGAAGAGAGGCAGAATTAGAGATGCAGCTGTGCAGTGACAGGTATGGGAACACCGTTGTCGGGTCACCAAGTGGGGCTGACAAGGTGGTGTGCAGCAGCCTGGAGCTCATGCAGGCTCTGCCCCAGAATGTGCTGCCCAGCTGCAAGATCACCTGGCTCTGAGCAACAACAAAATATCTGAGGTGAAGAACAGTTCAGTTTTGGGTTTAAGCCTCCTCGAGAGACCTCCATCACCCATGCTGCCACCAGAGGTCAAGCTGGTGTCTGTGGTCAGTGCTGCCACCTGAGACCACTTATCATATTTTTCTATGAGACATGGATGAAGATGTAACTTCTTCAAAGTAACAAAACTGGGAAGGAGTGACATTGAGAGAATCTGGGACCGGGAGACTACTCATGGTAGAATATGCAGTTGCATCGCTGCATATCTTGGAGCAAGAATATGATCTGGTCCCTCTTCTTAAGGAATCAAGGATCTAATCTGAGAAGTAATCTATAGATGCATAACATTTCAATATAAAGCTGAATATGATTAAATACCAGAGTTCTACCAACCATATTATGGACCTTCAAGGAGAGAACTGGCATGCTTAATGAAGGCCTTATGAGGCAGAGCATGGACTGTTGAACAGGATTATCTGAGCATAGTGATGTTTAAGCAGAGAGAAGCTGTGAAAAGGAGGGTGTTAGTAATATATTCAGATGATCCTTTCTTGACTGTGATTGAGTTTGGGGGAAGCAGATTATAATAATGAGAATCAGATGTCACTTTGGAAAAGGAATTATATGTGTGAACAAGTAAAGGTAACTCCAAATGAAAACAATGGATGTTTGACTTTCTTATGTTAAGAATAAAAGGATGTTTTAGAAGCTAATGTTGACTGTTTTGGGCCTCAGCTATTTCAGTTCCGGAAGTGACAGATGATTCAGTCTTGGAGCAGTGGACAACAAGGTTCTGTGTGGAGGATTTTCCTGAGAAGTATGTACCCTTAATCTCACATTCCTTTTATCTATAGAAGACAAACAGTAAGTTCTTCAGACACCTGAAAAAGCCCTTTACCTTCTCACACATTTTCTATTGTAGTCTGAAGAAAAGCCCTCTTTGCAAGCACAAAGAAAAGGCTAGCTGGAAGTTATTTATAGCCTCTTTTTTATCCTCCCCTCACTTATCATACTCTAATTATGATTCTCTTCATTGATGTTACAAAAGACATGCAGAAATTAACCAGTGGTGTTATACCTTTAGTCAATATGTCAATGAGCAAAACTCTTTAATATTAAAGTTCCTTTAGTTAAAATGCAGACTTAAGACCACTTTCTAGTGTGTTTATCAATATTATTTATTTTAGTTCAGTCATCCTTCAAATATTTGCATATTCACCTGTGTATACAGGATACAAAACAAAAAGGAATAGTTACACCTTCAAAAACCAAAACGGAGCAGGAACTTAGAAGCAGCGCCACAGTCACTGTGCAAAGCCCACAGCAGAAGTAGGAGTGTGGGCAGTCATAAAGGGGAGATGACTGTCCTGTTGCACACTGTTAGTACAGAGATTACACTCCTCAGTATTAATCCAAATGATTAGCTGCTCATTTCATGTGGAATGTGCATCACACTTTTGTTATTACTCACATTTTCAAAATTTTATAATTTAAATATTTCTTCATTGCAATTAAAACAAAAACCAAAAAAACCCAACACATTTCATTGTGTCTAGACTCTTGATTAAGTGAGCCCAAATATTCTGTTTGTGTCACCTAGGCATTTACTAGTCAAGTTAAGAATATGATATATATGTAGCTAAAGTTTATCTGATCCCATCCAGCTCCCACAGCCCCATGGTCCCGCAGCCGCTCAGACCCAAATGAACACACAGAGGCTTGTATTATTTTTAAACTATGGTCATGGCAGGCTTCTTGCCAGCTAGCTCTTATATCTTAAATTAACCCATAATTCTTATCTATGTTTAGCCACGTGGCTTGCTACCTTTTCTTAGTTCTACCTTGTCATTTTGCTTCCTCTATGTCTGGCTGGCTTGTCCTGCCTATACTTCCTGCCTGGCTACTGGCCAATCAGCATTTTATTTATCAACCAATCAGAGCGATACACATTCACAGCATATAGAATGACGTTCCATAGCATCTTACTGGTACCTTTACATCTTGCTTCTTCAGCGGTGGCTAGCAGCGTCCTCTGCTCTGTCCTCCTTCCTCTCTCTCTCTAGTTAGAATGTCCCACCTAACCTTATTCTGCCTCACCATTGGCCAAACAGCTTTATTTACCAACCAATCAGAGCAACACATATTCACAGCATACAGAATGATGTCACCCATCATAAATACACTTAGAAAAATTAACATTGTGAAAATATAAGATGACTAATATGAGCTCTATTGTAGGACACAAGACCGATGGGACATGTTTACCACATGAGTAATCCCTGAACAGTAAGGAAGCTGAAAGATGCAGTGTACTCAGCTCAGTGCACTGTGAATTAAAAGTTGAAAAACTCCAGTGCTAACAGTTTGACTATTCACTTTACCCCTTACTCACTTTCATCATTGGTATGATGACGGTGGACCAGTGTTTCCTGTATATGGGACTCTCCTGAGAATCTCAGCAAAATGTAATTTCTGATTCAACCAGTGTGTGTTGGAAGCCTGAGAGTCTACATTTTAAAAATCTGTTCCTAGATGTTCATGCTGCTGGTCTAAGGATCTCTAAGATTGTTGTTCAATTAACATGGTAGGCCTGTGCATATGTAAGTAGGAGAGATCAGCTTCACAAAAAGTCAGGAATTGAGTCTGAGCTTGGCATTGAGGAGGTGCCTCCTTGACACAAAATATTTGGGTCAGAGAATAAAACATGCCCAAAGGCATGGGAGGATAGAGCAGTCACCAACCTAGCAAGAGCTACAGCTATAGGAACAGGGCTATCTAATAAGAACATAACTGTAGTTTTGATTTACATATTCCTGATGGCTAATTATCTTAAGCATGTCTTTATGTAGTTGGCCATTAGTCTGCCTTTGCAGAATGTCTAGTCGGGTTTTTAGCTCATTTTTTAAAATTGGGTCTTGATTGCAAAACAGAATATAATAGTTTGTCTAAGGATATTGAGAAGCAGGCATTGAATAAAGTACAAGGGCAGTTTGGCAGTATGTGGTTGTATCCAGATTCATTTATTTTTATTCTAAATAATAGTCTGCTGTATAGATGTCACATTTTACTTACCCATTCATTAGTAAAGACATTAAGGTTGTTTTTGCTTTTGGCAATTATGAGTAATTCTGCTGCTGACATTCATATACACGTTTTTTGTAAACAGCTATCTAGCATTGGAATTACTGGGTCATACAGTAACTCATGTTTAACTGTTTAAGGAACTGCCAGGTGTGATCCAATCAACTGTGTTGCTTATACTCCTCCAAAGTGTGATAAAGCTTATGGTTTATTCACATGCTTGCTAATACTTCATCTGTCATTTTTATTATAGTTGTACTAGTGAGTTAAGGGGACAACACAAAAATAACTATAGGGTTGGCATCAGCAGGAAGTCATTGTCTACCCAGCTTAAAGAAACATAACCTTTGGTGGATGTGTATTGTCACTTCCAAACTGGTCCAGCAGAGAAGGGTTTGGGAGGAGTAATGTTCCAACCTGTTTCTCTCCTACCTATGATCTCCTACCAAGGCTTCCCAGTGGCTGATCCCAGCTAGAAACCAGAGGGACAAAAGCCTGCTTTTAAGTGTTTTGTGTATATTCCAGATACAAATCCTCCATTGGGTGTGTGGTTTGCAAATACTTTTGTCCTGTGGCTTGTCTTTTCCCTTTCCTGATGGTATCCTTTGGAGCACACTTTAGAAACTTAGATATAGTTCAACTTGTGTAGTTTTTGTTGTCATGAGTGCATTTAATATTATATGTAAGAAAATTTACATGTTCTAACGTCATAAGAATTTACTCCTTTATTTTCTTCTAAGAATCTACTACTCTCAAGCCCCCTTGTGGCTGTCCAATGCAGAGTAGTTAGCCTTGAAACCTATACACAGAAACAACAAGTGTGTGTGTGTGTGTGTGTGTGTGTGTGTGTGTGTGTAAGAAATATATTAAGAGAAAAAGAGGCTGTTAACCAAGAGTTGGGGACATGAGAGGGGCTAGTGGGAGGAAAAGGATGGGGAAATGATATATCGATTTCAATTAAAAACATTTTAAAAAAGACATAAATCAGATCATGAAATACCTCTAACCATAACCCACAAATGGTGTCCCAGCAAACAGAATGCAATCCTAAGTGCTTAGCATGTCTTACAAAGTCCATAATGGTTTGATCTCTGCCTGTCTAACTCCTCTATTCCAGTTACTCTGACCTTACTCTTTTGCCTAGAATCTACCAAGTGTGTTTCCTGCTTTAAGCCTTTATGGCTCAGTTCCCATCATTATTCAGGTAGCTACCAAAAATACCTCCTCAATGAGCCTTTCACTAGCTGCATTCTCAAAATAAACTAATGTTATGGCTGTTACCTGATGTCTGCATATCTTATTCTATTAAGTACATTTCAGTTTTCACCATTGACATTGTTTACTTAGTTGTTCATCTTCCTCTGAGCAGATGAACTTTGTGAGAACAAGACTTTGTTTCCTAGTGCATGCAGTGCTAGTACCAAGAATAGAGTTAGTACATTGTAGATATTCAACCAACATTTTTAAGGACTTAATGAGTGGCAGTGGGTAAATGACCCCAAAAAGAATGATAACCAAATAAAGCAAAAACAGTGCGATGGGACATCTCAGAAACACCAGTATAGGCAGAGGAGGAGTTTCCAATGGAAAGAGAACACCTAATGCTGGAAAAGGAGAAACAAGGGGGGCCAGGAAAAGTTGATCTTCATGTCATTTGTGTGAAGAGAGTTGACTGGGTGCTTTGCCAAGTACTGATTGTGTCAGCAGCACTTTTTTTTAAAGACACTAGCTAAAGGACTAAATTCAGAAGTCTATGGAGGTCCACATATAAGCCAACATTCTCAATAAGTAATACAGATATGGGGATGCTAAAGTATTCTTGTACCTTATATTTTCTTGAAGAGTAAGGGGGAAATTTTAGAGAGTTTTTTCTCTGATTTTTTCCCTTTTATTGAAAATGGATTTTTTCATATAATATATTCTGATTATGGTTTCCCTTCCCTCTACCCTTCCCAATTCCTTTCACCCTCCCCTCCATCCAGATCCACCTGCTTTCTTTCTTTCATTAGAAAACAAGCACGATTCTAAGGGATAATAATAATATAAAAAACAAGAAAAAACATAAGCTAACACATTGGAATTGGACAAAACAAACAGAAGGATACCAGTCCAAGAGAAGGCATAAGTAACAGAGACCCACTTGTTCACATATTCAGGAATCCCATAAAAACACTAAATGGGAAGCCATAATATATATAAGTGTGGTGTGTGTGTGTGTGTGTGTGTGTGTGTGTGTGTGTGTGTGTGTGTGTGTATGGTAAAAGGAGAGATGAGACTATATACAGATAAGTAAAATAAAAATAAGATAAATTTTTTTTAAAAAGGAAAAACCCTGACATGACATTGTAAGACAATGAACCTCTAAAGATGCCATTGAGTTTGTTTTTGTTGGTCATCTACTGCTGGGCATGCTGCCTACCCTTAAGAGTAGTTTGTTTCCCTAGTGAGATTCCCTTGGAACAAACTAAATTTTCATTTGCAAGTGGTTATCAATTGGAGGTTTACTTCTGGGTTAGGGATAGGGGCATGGCATTCACTTCTCTCAGCTCTAGGACCCCATCTGTTGCAGACCCTTGCAGGCCCTGTGCATGCTGCCCCAGTCTCTGCATCCATATGTACATCAATCATTTTGATTTAGAGGACCTTGTTTTCTTGGTGTCCTCCATCCTCTCTGGCTCTTAGACTCTTTCTGCCTTCTCTTCCACAGGGTTCCCTGAGCCCTCAGGGGAGGGATTTGATGCAGATCTCCTGTTTAGTTCCAAATTCTCTTACTCTCTGCCTAATGATTATCTGAAGGTCTCTGTACTTGTTCCCATCTGCTGCCGGAGAAAGCTTCTCTAGTGATGACTAAGCAAAGCACTGATTTTTTAGTATAGCAGAATGCCATTAGGAAGCACTTTATTGCTATGTTTTTGTTTTTAGAACAGTAGTATTTGGTTTTATCCTAGGTCCCTGGGCTCTCTAGCTTCAGATTCTTGATCACCCAATAGTATCGTGTATAGGTTCCATCTTGTGGAGTGGGACCTAAGTCAAATCTGATATTGGTTGGTTACTCCATCAAGCTTTGTACCACCATTGTACTAGCCTATGTTGCAGGCAGGACACCATTGTAGATCAAAGAGTTTGTGGCTGGGTTGGTGTTGACATTTCTCCTTTGGTAGTGTCAGGATACCTTCCTGTACCAAAGACTTTAAGGCTGTATGTAGGCACCAGCCCAACTTCCTCGTGTTCAAAGGGTTGTATAGGTGTTGTCTTCAAAAATGGGGCCTTGCTCTCAGTTTGTGGAGAGCAACTTATAGCCTTGGAAACAGCCTGGGTTGTTTGGGGATTCACATACGACCTCTTGGCCAACAACTCAATTTTATGTAACCCAATCCCGGAACTAGAAGCTTCATTTGGTAATGAGATGGCCAGTTGGGACTCTGCCTCCTCCATTGTTTAGTGATTTCATTTAGATCACCTTAATATATGTATATATTTTAGGAAGCATCTATTGTATTAAGTTTCCAAACTACCCCTCAAATGGCCCTTAATTTTAGCTGGCTCTCCGTTATTCCCTCCCTCATCCCTCTCTTTCCCCTTCCCTTTCCCACTCCCTCCTGTTCCAGCCCCCACCCCACCCATCCACAACTGTCTATTCTATTTCCCTTCCCTAAGGAGATCTGTCAATCCCCCACTCTCTTACTCTAAACCTAACATTTGTGGTTCTATAGATTGTAGCTGATATTCACATATAAGTGAATACCTATACCTTATTTATCTTTCTGGGTCTGGGTTACCTCACTCAGGATGATTTTTTTTCAAGTTCCAACCCGTGAATTTCATTTTTTTAAATAAACAGCTCAGTAATAATGCTCCATTGTATAAATGGATTTTCTTTATGCATTCTTCTGTTGAGGGACATCTAGGTGGTTTCCAATTTCTGACTATTATGACTAGAGCAGCAATGAACGTGGTTGAGCAAGTGTCTCTGTGGTAGGATGAAGTGTCCTTTGTGTATATGCCCAAGAGTGGTAGAGCTGGATCTTGAGAAAGATCATTTCCCATCTTCCTGAGGAAACCACCACACTGATTTCCAAAGTGGCTGTACAAGTTTGCACTCCCACCAGCAATGGATGAGTGTTTCCCTTGCTCCACATCCTCACCAACATGAACTGTCACTTGTTTTATTAACCTTAGCCATTCTGATGGGTGTAAGATGAAATCTCCAAGTAGTTTTGATTTACATTGCAAGTATGTCCTTATGATTCTTTGGATCTTCTTGGTGTCAGTTGTTATGACCCCCTTTCCATTTCTAATTTTGTTAATTTGTATCATCTTTCTGCCTTTTAATTAATTTGGATAAGGGTTTGTCAATATTAACAAATTTCTCAAATAACTAACTCTTTGTTTCATTGATTCTTTGTATTTTCTTTTTCTTGTTTGTTTCTATTGGCTTGAAGTCTGTTTTGTTAGATACTAACATGGCTACATTAGCTTGCTTTTTAGGTCTATTTGCTTGGACTATCCCTTTCCATCCTTTACCCTGAGATGATGTCTGTCCTTGATGTTAAGGTTTTTTTTTTGGTGCAGCAGAACGATGGATGTAGCTGAAGTTTTCAGGTCCCGCCAGGCACCCTCAGTCCCATGGCTTGCTTATAAAATAATCACACTGAGGCTTAATATTAGTTATAACTGCTTAGCCATTAGCTCAGGCTAACTACTGACTAGCTCTTACACTTAAATTAACCCATAATTCTTATTTATGTTTAGCCACATGGCTTGGTACCTTTTCCCAGTTCTGCCTTCACATCTTGCTTCTCATGGTGGCGGCAGCTGGCAGCATCTCCTGACTCAGCCTTCCACTTCCCAGAATTCTGCTCTCTGCTTATCCTGCCTGTGCTATACTTCCTGCCTGGCTACTGGCCAATCAGCGTTTTATTTATCAGTCAATCAGAGCAACACATTTCATAGCTTACAGAAAGACATCCCCAGCAAATGGATCCTGTTTTTTGCATCCATACTGTTAGTCTGTCTTTTTATTGGAGAATTGAGACCATTGGTGTTGAGAGATATCTTTAAGCAGTGTTTGTTGATTCCGGTGACTTTGCTGTTCTGATGTGTTGCCCTTTCAGCCAACCTCTGCAGATTTTATCTGCTGAACCTGGGATCTAAAGACCTGAAAGAATGGGGTGGACTGCAATCTAATGCTGTAGACAACCTTCAGTCTGAGTGCATGTTTATACAGGAATGAAGAAAGAAAGCAGTAATCTGAGGAAGGTTGTTTGAGTTCAGAATAACATGATTAGAAAACATGTAAATAAACATCATTAAGCACATACTAAATATTAACAGAATAACCTTTTCCCAGAACTTTCTCAGGACAGACCAATTTAAACACAATTGCCTGGCACTTAGTATAGATTGTACCTGGGAAAGCATAAAAGCAAGGTAGAAGGCCATATCCAGATTCAGAGCACATTGACCAGATTGGGTTCTATAGCTGTGTTCTGACATCCAACAAGAATAAACATATCGTATAAATTAAATGTAAATGTTTGTCACGGGAGGCACGGACCACATCGAAGAACAAATCCAGGGAACAAAATGCACCTGAGGTAAAAGGCCCTCTGCCTTTTTCCCTGGGGCCTCTCTCACAGTTCCCCAAGGCATTGTTTACCATGGCTCATTCTTGTGACCATGTTCAGACAATGGTGTGTGTGTGTGTTTTCTGTGTTTTGATTTTCTGGTCTATGACTATTTGTTCCTTGTGTTTTCTTAGGTGCGGTTAACCTCTTTAGGTTGGAGTTTTCTTTGTAGTGACTTCTTCATGACTGGATTTGTAGATGATTGCTTATATTTTCTCCATCTATGGCAATTGAAAGTTTTACTGAGTATAGTAATCTGAGCTGGCATCTGTGGTCTCTTAGAGTCTGTGGCACATCTGTCCAGGCCCTTCTGGCTTTTAGAGTCTTCATTCAGAAGTCAGGTGCTATTCTAATAGGTCTACCTTTATATGTTACTTCGTCTTTTCCCCTTGTAGCTTTTAATATTCTTTCTTTGTTCTGTATGTTTATGTTTTGATTATTATGTGCCATGGGGACTTTCTTTTCTGGTCCAGTCTATTTGATGTTCTTTATGCTTCTTGTACTTTGATAGGCATCTCCTTTAGGTTAGGAAATTTTTCTTCTGTGATTTTGCTGAAAATATTTTCTGTGCCTTTGACCTGTGTTTCTTTTTCTTCTATTCCTATTATTTTTAGATTTGGTCTTTTCATGGTGTCCCCGATTTCCTGGATGTTTTGTGACAGTATTTTTTTTAAGATTAACATTTTATTTACCAAGGTATCCATTTCCTCTATCTTGTCTTCAATGCCTGAGATATGTAGTTAGCCTATTTGCTTCTTTGGCCCGAGTGGCCTGAGATTTCCAGGGAGTTCCTGCTTGGAGTTGAAGCCTGGGTACAGCAGGTGGTCTGCTACAGAGCTGAGGATAAGACTAGGGTGTTGGATTTGGAGGAACTGAGGGAGAAGTGAAGATCTGCAGTTAACCTACCTGTTTCCCCGGCCAGAGTGGCCTGTGGCTTCCCAGGGAATGCCTGCTTGAGGTCAGGGACTGGGATAAAGCAATGGGGTGGGGGTTTAGGAGAGGAGAATCTGTGTGATATTGAAGAACAGATGTTGAATATAAAATATAATGGAAGTCTGGTAATGGTGGCAAAAGCTGCAAATAAATATATAAAGCTGAATATGTGTAACTTCTCTAAAACTTCTTCTGTTTTTAGGAAGTGCATTTTGGGAAATGATTAGATACGAATACAAAAATGGTCCTTGCATTATTGCTTATAATAACAGTCTCAAGAACCTTCAACTTCCGGGAAGGGAGAACTGGTTAAATAAATGATGGTCAATACTAAGTGTGGTAGCTTTCAATCACCTTAACAGAGCACTTGAAATAAGTTACTTGGAAAAGATTTATTTTGGTTTGCAGGTGTGGAGTTTCTGCGCATGCTCAATTGATTTGGGCCTGTGGTGAGCCAGCACATGATGGCAGGAGCACATGGCAGAGCAAGAGTGCTCAGCTCATGGACCAGAAGTGGAATAGAAAAAAGAAAGGGCCAGAGTCCTACTATCCCATTTGAGGACATACTGCTAGTGTTCCAAACACTTCCCAACTAATCCTATCTTTTATATTCTCTGCTGCCTCCCACTAATGCCACTCAGTGAACTGAGCCTTTAACACATGGGCCTTTGGGAAGTTATGTAAGATCTAAAATAGAGCAGTGATAAATGGAATTCTGTTCTTCCACTCAAATATAAAGACAATCAAATAGAAAGTCAGTGGTTAACATGTAAATAGGCCCATTATTCACAGCTCAGTAGAAAAAAAAACAGGTTATGGAATACTATATATGTGAATACTGAGTAATTAGGAATTTGTGTAATTTTGCATTCCTTTCAAGTGGGGCTACAGATAATTTTTCTTAGTGCCCATTAAATTTGGCAAATTTTCCATGGTAAACACATACTGTTTATTAATAAAAATGTTTTCAGATAGACACAGATAAAATCAATAATTTTATGTCACAGAAAGACAGTTACAGGAATGATGATTAATGGTACATTTGAGGAAATTGTTCCAAGTTCCAATCCAAACTCCCCAACTGGAATGGAGACTATCAGTTCATACCTCAGGAAGGACTACGAAGAAGACTTTGCACCTATCAAGTGCTCCCCACACTACCCGGGAGTGAAAGCGGAGCACCAAGGTAGGAAGTGGTAAAACGTTTCCTACGAACAGATATAGCTTCATTTCTATGTGCTTTTGTTCAGTTGTATTTTAAATATCTTTATTTTATTAAAATAACTACCTACATGATTGTAAGCCTGAGTTTTGCCATGCTAACAGCATTTTCTCTTTCATATTAATATGCTTTTCACAAAAATGGATTTCTTTTAGTTTAAATTTGCTGAAACTCAAAATAACATGTACAGACTTGATCATGGTGTGTGCCAGCATGTTCTGTAATGTCCTTGGCTCTGAGTCCAGATCTCATGATACAGAAGTATAGTGGGACATTAAGTTTTGGATTCTAAAGTTATGCCTGTATGTTATTTCTCAAAACATCCTAAAGATATTGTCTTGCCTAATATATATAAAAGCAAGTTCAAATTATTGGCAGATCAACTAAAATTATGTTTTATCCAAAGTACTTTCCAAATCTCCTCTCTAGCAAGCCGAGTTCTTGAGAGCTTCTTGAGAACTGACTTTCTTGTATTGTAACGGCCTGTTCTTTGTTTAATGACAAAGCCTGAAGGTCTGTTCTGTACTCGCTCCTGCTAGTTAAGACATGCTATAGCCAGGAGTGGTGGTGCACACTTTCAATCCCAGCACTCAGGAGGCCGAGGCAGGTGGATCTCTGTGAGTTCGAGGCCAGCCTGGACGACAGAGTGAGCTCCAGGACAGCCAGGGATACATAGAGAAACCCTGTTTTGAAAAATGGGGGCGAAGGGGGGGAGATATAGCTTGAGCATGAAAAAAATAACTAGGTTACTTTACTATTGTTTTTATGTGAAGCAGTTTGGGGAAAGTTGTTATTGAGGCTTGGGGGTAAATTATGGTTTTAGTTTTCTTCTATAATATTTCTTGATTTATTAATAAAACTTGTTTTTAAATTTTGTGGCGATGAAAATATATTTATATTAAATTGTATATAGAGATGATTTATAAAAACTAACAGGCTAAACACACAGAGCTGTTGTTATGCTTGTGGCAAGCTAATAAGATTTTGTTGGATAAAATCAATTAACTAAGGGAAAATAATGAGTAACTTGTTTTCCTTTGGTGTCTTATATCATACAAATCACTTTATTATCTTTGTCATCTAATATATTTTCTTTGTAGTGATATATGTTGCTAATTTCAAACGGGTACATGGATCTAGACTCTCGTTCCCAGTCATTTCACTGAGGTTACTTTGGAGACAGAAGTATTTTGCATGATTTTGTTCTTAGCTTCAGCACCACTGGTATAATATGAGAATACCTTATTTATGCCACCCTTATCATCAGTGATCCATTACTGCTGTTGTTGTGGTAATGCAGTATAAACTAATATGATGGGGAAATTATATATTTTACTTGCATCTTTAAGAGTTATTTGTGTCTATTGGCTGTTTGTATCTTTTTCTTTTGTGAAATGATTTCTCCTTTTTTACCTGCGTGTGTTTTTATATGTAAAGACACCAATAATTCCAAATGTGTTTAACTTTAATCTGATCAGTTCTGCTGATATTTTCTTTTATAGATTTTTGCATTGCATTTGTGCTTAGAAAAACATTTTTTATTTGTATTTGTCATATAACTTTTCCTTTGTTTAAGGTGTTTGTTCTGAGACAGAGTCTCGCTGTGTAGCCCTGGCTGGTGTAGAACTCACTTTATGTAGACCAGGCTGGCTTTAAACTCACAAAAATCTACCTGCCTTTGCCTCCTGAGTTCTGGGATTTTAGGTGTGTACCACAGCATCCACTAATTTTTGTAAAAAGATTTATTTATTTATTTATTTATTTATTTATTTATTTATTTATTTATTATGTATACAGTGTTCTGCCTGCATGTATGCCTGTAGGTCAGAAGAGGGCACCAGATCTCTTTACAGATGGTTGTGAGCCACCATGTGGTTGCTGGGAATTGAACTCAGGACCTCTGGAGGAGCAGCCAGTACTCTTAACCTCTGAGCCATATCTCCAGCCCCCCTAATTTTTTTGTATAATTTTATTTCTGATATTTTTATGTTTAAGAATAGGGACATTTTAAAAATATTTTGGCATTTGTTCCAATATCATTTAGCAAAGAGTCTTTCCTTCTAGAAATGCTGCTGATATTAATGTTGAGTTCTTATCCATTTCCAGTTTGATTCTGGTTTTCTCTTGCTGTGTACTGTGTTAGTGTTACGTCATTTGAGCTCTTCTATCCCTATGACATATGTTAACAGTCTCTTGTTTTCTTGTCCCAGCTCCGTGGGTTTATTTGTTTAGATTTACTACTTTGTAGTCACCTTCCCCAAATGTTCCAGATCACACCTCTTGGAAAACTAGTGTTACGTCATTTAGGATGTTTTGGTTAGTTTTCCTAGCTGGGGATGGGGTGGGCGTGGGGAATGGTTTGTCTTGCCTTTTATTCAATTTTTGTTTTTTAAGATTCTCAATGGTTACCCGTTAGGAAACCATGATTTATACATAATCTTAAGGGACTTACTGTTGTAATCTAGTTAACTCGGGTTTTCTAAGTGGACAGAGGATCTTTTGCAAACAGTCCTGTCTTCTTTCTCGTCACTGAGCCTCTTTTCCTGCTTCCTTCATAACTAAGCAGATTTGCATCTCTTGCATCTTATTTGTCTACAGCAGAGTAGAACAGTGTGAGTGCATGCAGTTGCTGTGAAGTAAGAACTCCGGGAATACAGTACAGCCATAGTTGTAGAAGGAAGCTACCATGCCTGGGTGAAACAGCCGTTGTCTAACAGCATCGGTTGTGGTGAGATGCTGACATCTAGTGGCCATGTCAAAAATGGCAGTTGAATATTGGGGACTGACAGGGTAGAGGGATGCTTGGAAAACAAGACTTCATCAGTGACATGAGATGTCCCCATGCAGTAGAAATATCAGAATGTGGCCTCATCTGGTGTGACAGCCCCAGAGCTTGTGATTAGAAGAATAGCAAGGAGATAGGGGATATAAATAACGCTGTTTTCACTCTCAACATAACTTCATCAGTATTTGCAGAATGGGTGGATTATATGCACAAATAACCCTTAATTTTCCCAGATAAGCCCTGCTTCCATGTGAACTTGGTTGAGGAGCTTCCAGCAGTATCTCATAGAGAGCTTCTAGTCATGAGATTGGCAGGAGCTTAAATGACTTGGACAGTCTCTTAGGAGGCTAGTTTATATCACAAGTTCTCCTTTGATACATGCATTCAACATAGGCAAGGGATGCTCCCTGGCTGCTTGTCTTATGTCCCATGTTGACTAGGCACATACATATCACTTACATAGTTGGTCATGAGAGACATCACCACCTGAAAACTACATACTGTTCCCCTCCCGAGACCTGCTGCCGCCAACTTAACTGAAAGACTGCTGCCCGGAACCAAAGAAGGTCCATTCTCCACATTCAAGGCAGCTGTCATGTTGGAGACTTTGGCTCTCTGAGTGCCTCCTTCTCTAAGCATACATTTTCCTGTCCCTTTCCACTAAGAAATGTACTGAAGAAGGAAGCCACTTTACTGTTCCCTTCCATAGCTCAGGAACTCTCACACAGCGAACCAAGATTCTAAGTAACACAAGCACAGAAGGTTGGGATAAAAGAGAATTTTAGTTCACCCCGTAACTTATTGTCAGTGATGTTTTCAATGTGTAAAATATGTCGTCCTTCCCAAGCAGATGTTCCAGTATATACTTTTCACTGTAATTCACTGTATAGCCACAATGTATGGATGGTTTTATAATGATGGAGTCAGTGATTTCATCTGTAGGCTCTCCAGACCATATTCATTCATTGTATGTCCTTACAGATTAAATGATGCAGAAAACAGAAAACCAGACTCAGCCAGTCTGTATTTTTATTTTTTTAAACTTTTGGTACTGTTTTGCAGTAGAAAATATTCCCCTCCATCGATCAAGCCAGTCTTTGTTGATAAAGTATATGTCATTATAACACTACTGTTCAGAACATTTGTTCCCACCTCCATGTTCTAAATAATACTACATTTTATTGAACTTTTCCTTTTCTCTGGGTCCTATATTCTGTGTTTTATATACATAGTAGAGTGGAAAACTAAATGATTTCAATGTGTTTGAAAAATCCACTGATACATAATGTCTATATCTCTTGTATAACTATTAGATATTTAATTCCTTATTTCTTTTCAGGATTACTTATTGATGAGGAAATGATTTTTATAAATAAAGCAATGGAGAATCATCTACCCACTGTGGATACTCTCTTGAGCAGACTAAAGCTCTATCTGGTTAAGGATCCACTTTTAGATTTCCAAGAACAGCTCTCTGGAAAGGCTGACTTCACGTATGTAATTGTCTGGTACTGTAACTGCTTTTATATGAGAGCATTCTTTGTACAACCGCAGGTGTAGATGCTCTTGGTGAGGGTTCCATTGCTTCATCTCAGCGTGCATGTTAGTCTTTGTGTGTTTTGTTGGCAATATTTGTTGAATGATTTTAGTAAGCATAACTTAATCTTGTTTGATTTTTGATTTAAGGGAATGTTTCTCTGTTCAAGAACGTTCGGAACTTTTTGTGAGAGATTTCCATATGGCTGAAGAGACCTTTTGTAAGAAGAAACTAGTATGTTTCAATAAAATTGTAACATTTGTTTTCAGTAGTGTATTTGTAGAAGTAAGGGAGCACACTTTTTTAAATTTTGGTGATTTATTTTGACTGTTTACAACTGCCATACTAAAATTTTGTGATACTAGTTTGAATATGTGTCAATTATGGAGCCAAATTTCCTTTCAAATAGTGATCTTCAGCCTTCCTTAGCTGAGGTTGAAGTTGGCTCTGACCCAGTCATGTCCCAATTTAACTGGTCTGGTGGGCAGTCGGACACAGAATTTTCAAACCTCTTTTAGTAATTTAATTACTATACTTGGTATAGAAATTTAAGTAGTTAAATTTAAAAATTATAAACTGAACTCTATGGACATTCTAATTTAAACACACATATCGTGTTTTGTCGACAACTGAACTATTTTGTACATGGGCCTTTTCTTAATATGTTCAGAGGACATACACACAATGCAGTAAGGGCACTTCAAGGGTTCCGTTACAGATAAGATGTGAACAAGTTGGAGAAGACATTAAGTTGTTTATTGCCTTACTGACTCCAGCCCCTTCACTTGTTAACTCTAGTGGTACACAGTCTCACATGTGAAGAATATTGTCGGGGGCGGGGTGCTGAGAGAAAAACGTATCCCATGGGATGCAGTAGGAATGAACTCCATTCCATCAACTCTTCAGTTTGTGCCACTTTTCTATATCTCATGTTCTGGGGTAATTCTTTTAATTTAGAATTTCTGAATACTTTTATTAGCTTAAAAGATAATACATAATTAGAGATATTATGTATCACTAAGGTAGTGAGGATTATAAAAGATTACTCAAGAAAAGCCTTGCTTGTAGGAAGAACTTATTTTTGACTGCTAAACCTCTAGTTCTGTAAGTCTGTATAACATTTAAAACAGAATATGACTTGTTTAAATTTTGTGTGCCATTTAAACAAACACATCCATTTAGAACTCAAATAAATGTACTTGGAACTGTCCCTTAAGTTTTTTAATGTTATATTATTTCAGCCCCCAGTTTTTCCTTCTGAGTTTGAATTCTTAATGTCTACTATCCCCAAACAAGAAATTCCCACTCTACCACTATCAGAACTGAAGGAATCATTAAACTCAATGCCTGACATAATGGATTATGTAGAAGAAAATGAAAAACTTTCCCAAAGAGGTGAGAATTCATTTAGAAATGTGTTTCTTATAAAAAAAAAACCCACTTGTTATCGAGTTATTTATTAAAATACTTTATAGAGATGTTCTGTAAGTTACATGTTGAAGTTTCAGGATAATTACTGTTAGACTCTTTATTTATCCCAGTATGGAGTTTGAATCAGGGCCTTCATGTGCTAGGCAAGTATTCTACCATTGAGTTTCATTCCCAGCCCTGAGACAGAGAGGGGGGGGGGAGAGAGAGAGAGAGAGAGAGAGAGAGAGAGAGAGAGAGAGAGAGAGA